TCAAAACGTCTCAGAACATCTGCAGTTACACTGAGATCAAATTATGCTTTAGTGGATTCAGCGGCATTAAATGAGGTGATTCGTGAAAGGATTTGGATTTTTTTTTATTTAAGGATTTCAAAGTAAATTCCAAAAGCGTGCCATACTTTATTTACGTAAAGCCATGTGTCGCTTTTCTCCTACTTCAAATAAATAAACTCTGAATAAAATATACTGGAGATTTTGGTCGTAAAGTGGGGGGAGAAAAAGTGATGAAGTTAAAGGGGGATAAATGTTGTTTCCAAGCAATTTGGCATGAGAGCCGTCCAGCACACAGCTGGGGCTGACTTTTGGCTGAATCTTGCCATTGGATTTTTAGCAGTGCTTGTAACAGATGTAAACATGAGTGAGTCATTTAACCTAGATTTTATTTATTTATTTATTTTATTTATTTTGCATCTGTCGTTACAGAAACATAGATTCAATTCTTTCACTGTATGTCCACGTTAAGCGTGGATCATAAAATACCGCTGTCGTGCAATTTCAACACTTTCTGTGAACTGGACAAAGAATAAAGCTTATTTAAAATTATGTAGCTTCTTTGCACAATTCCTCATGTTTCCACTTCCTTTGTTTCTTCATAAATCAGAAACATCCAGCCGTCTCATCCAGAGGTTTGTAACCACAAACAGATTCCTTCACTCCGCCATCCGCATTCGCAAAACCTTTTCCAACTTGCTTACTTTTTTTTTTTTTTTTTTTTTTTTCTGCAAATTCACATAAAATAAAGTGAATATTTTAACATAAAGCCAGCTGCTGTCAGGAAGGTTGCAACAGAATGCTCCACTCCCACTGCAGCGAGGCTGAGGAAATAAGCCGCACACATCCAGAGGAGACAAATAAAAATAGATTCGACACATAATCTGTTTCAGTATCAGTGTTTTGTGCATTTTAGAATGTTAATCGACTTCCCAGTAAAAATTTAAATTATTCAAAATTTACACTTCCGCTTTTGCAAATCTTTTTTTTTTCTTTTTGCCTTTTTTTACTCATCTGTCTTGCGGTTTTAAAAAAAGTAGGGGAAAGATAAAAGAAAAAGAATGAGTTTCACAGAGCCATAGTCATTAAAAGAATCTGAAAATAGCAACTCACTATCATCTGTTCTCATAGCACGGGTCAGGAGCTCTGACACCTCCAAAATTCCTCCTGTCAGGGTAGGGGGCCATTTGTATTCTCTCTCATTAGGCAATTTGACTAATGACCTGCCGCGGCTGCAGAGCTACTGAGGGACCCAGAGCCTCGCGCCCTCTCCCTTGCAGCCGCCTGAACACACACCCTCTATTGGAATGGCACAGATGGCATGCCCGGGCGACAAAATAAACTACAATATGTCTCTGAGATGCTGTCAGGCCTGGGCACCATTTCTCATGTCAGAGTGGGGCTAAGGGCTGTGAGTGGGCATAGGGGTCCTCCTCCTCCAGCTCTCTGTTCATCTACTCACCATTATCTGCAGTGGTGACAGAGAGCCGGGTTCTGCAACTAGAATAGCATCTCTGTGGTCTGCATGAAGAATAAGGCTTAAATTGAACGTCACATCGACACTGAAAGGATTGCAATGCCTAGCCCCGCTGCATGCAGAGGGAAGGGATTATTCAGGTGTTTGGAATGTGAAATGCAGCAGCTTCCGGATGAGGCTTCCGAGCTATTTTGGAGCGGTTTCTCCATTATTTCTGTGCTGCCGAACAATAGAGCCGCACAGGAGAGGAGGTTCATTTGCGCTCGCACGTCGTTCCTCGCTTAATTCAGGGGCTCAGACAGATTCGCCCGTGTAATCACACCAGACGGAGATCAATGCGGTTCTGCCGGATTAGTGAAGTGTAAAATAAAAGTTCATCAACATTCCTGAAGTGCTACTCCTGAGTGGTGGCTCAGGTAATATGGGCTTTGCTCGATGAGCCACGCATATTTTCCCATCAGTCAGCGCTGCGGCTTTTGTGTTTGCGCGCGTGCGCGGCGGCGTATGTCGGAGGTGTGGGAATGCGATGTATGGTGTTGCTGAGGTCCTGGGTGACAGTGCATCCAACAATGGAAGAGTGAGGGATTAGTGCTCAGCCCAGCATACGAGGGAGCCCTTCCCGCCCTGAAACAGCCATTCATCTGTGCCCAGGGGCTGGAGATGACAATGCAGCCATTGCTCATTGCACCTGACGGAGCCATTAATAAGGCAATGATCCACACGGGGCCTGTGCTGACTTCGTTCTTTACACTACAATCACTCAAGCCACAGGGTCCTCCTTACTTAACACCGCCGCCGCGCTCACAGCCATCATCATCACTACCATCATCACAGCCACTCTACCAAAAGTCCTGCCAGATGTTTTCCTATTGACTCCAAATGCCAAACAGGTACCCGGCTTCCCCGCACTGCAATACGCTTATGAGGTAATGGAGTGTAGCATGGCCACTTGGGCGGGTGGAACATGCTTCATGCTGGGATTTCTACTCAGAAGATTGGATTTACATTATTTTTGCCCTTTGCACCCTCGGATTGCTCCGTAGTACAGCATCCATCCCTTACCGCCAAGTCATCTGCTGCGCCTCTCCATTTGTCTGGATGTAAGATATGCTCTGTAGTATAGATGGCGGAGGAATACAAAGTAAGATCTGGTTTTAAATGTAATCCTTGAGCAATAAAGAAACTCTCTGGCCTTCGGCTCTCTGCATCCATCTGTCCGTGCCGTGTAGATCCATCAGCAAGCACAATCTCTGCTTCCCATTGCCAGTTATTGATTTAAATGTATTCTCCCTGCCTACCTCTGCCCCGGCGTTGGTCCTGGCAGCACAAAGTGGCGTTCACTTGTGTTTTTAAGGTTGGAACAGCTGCCATGCTCTGAATAGGCACACATTAAGAGCTAATGTAGAGAGATGCATATCTGTCCTGTATTTTGAAATGTTTTTGATCACTCCTGCTTTGGGCTGGGCTTAGGCAATGAGGTTATCTGTAGCATCACCTTTCAGGTTGTATTATTTTAATGATATTTAGTATTTTTTTAATGATAATCATGAAATCAAGCGCGTAATGTTAATGATGCCACTAAGATTAATAGCGATGCATCAATCACAGATTTGTAGCCAAATTTGGAAGGCGTGGAACTGCCAGCATTGATTTCGGAAAATAGTCTTTCTCGCCTTTGGCAGAGGTGACGTTTCACTGTGTGTGTTACAGAGGAGTCACTGCAAGAAGGAATCTTGTACTCACTTAAAGCAAAGTCATATTATTTGGAGTTAACATGTTTTAAACAGTTTGTAGCATCTTTTATTAGCAAAGAGCATAGTTAGCAAAGTTGGTATTATTAACTTTGAACATCAGTTTTCTTATTTTTTCAAAAAACTTATGTTACAGAATTTCTCAAGCTGCCAACATTTCCAGATCCAGCATGTTACAAAACACACAGAAGGTAAAAAAAAAATCAAAAGAATGAAACAAAGCACTTTAAAACCTTTTCTAAGCTATTATATTGACTTTCTGGGTAGTACTTTATGATTGTTTTGTCTGTGAAAGGCACTTAATAAACTTTATTGAGATACTTGTTCTAACGCATTCAACTTCCAAATACCGAAGTCAGCTATGGGTCAATTCCCCCTTTGGTCAACAGCTGATTTCTCATTATATCAAAGTGTTAACATTCAAATATTAACTAAGACAACATTTAACCTGTTATTTTAATAATTACATGCATCAAAGCTTGCTCACGTTAGCATTTAGCTCAAAGCGGCTCTGTGTCCAACCTTTAAGAACAGTACGGGGTAATGAGCAAAAAAAAAAAAAGCCATGAAAAGTGAAAAAGCTTTCCTTCTTTGCCTGCAAGGTCACAGCCACACTTTGATCACAAAGATCGCATTGTATTACGGTCATCTCCGAGCGCCAAACCCTGCATCCCTGTAATAACCGAGTCGCTGAAAGCGTCAACGTGAGGAAATATTTTTATCATGTCAGAACTGTTAAATATTGCTCCGAACAGGAAAGGCCGACGCGATCGCCAGCTCCCAGACGGTGACTCACAACCTTGGCTTACATTTATGAGTTCCCTTTCGCGGGCCAGCGCCGTGACCTGACTGTGGGTTAAAGAGAAGCAGTTTGAAGCTCGGCCCCTTGATAATTTGGAGCCGTGGTCGGGAGCCAGCGCCGGCAACTTTTATCACTCCAGAATTGGGAGTTTTACAAAGAAGCCGAGCAGCTGCAGTTTTCCCCCTTCAGCGTGGAAGCGAGAGGCTTTGTGTCTCCTGTCACCCCGTGTTAATTTGGGCCCTAATGTATTTTATAAACAAAGGGCTGCTCTCTAGCCTGACAGTCGTGACACCTTGATTCCAGTGCAGGATGCATGCAGGACGGGGTTACACCATTAATAATCAACTGGCAGCCATCACACCATTTTAACCACGATCATTATGATAAAGGGCATACACTTAATTACAGGCCTGCTTAATTATAGCTCTGTTGAAGCTCGTTTGTTTGGTCAAATGCTAATTATACCACCACGCTCCTGGCAAGTCCTCATTTCAATCCACTTTTTTTTTTTTCTTTTTTTTTTTGCGCTGGCTGAACAGTGCGGCTTATTTTCATGCAAATTCGATATCTCGTGAGTGTTTTGTCTCCCCTCTATACGCTTTTCTGTGCCTACAGTGCGAGCGCGTCTTTGTTTCAGAGGTGAACATCTCTCAGACAAGACAGAATCAGGAATAATCAAGAGTAATTAAACTGGAAGAGGGCTGGGAGAAGGGCTGGGCTGGAGGAGAGAGTGGAGGTGCTCATACACAGTGAATAAAAAAAAAAAGCCTTTCATCTTTTCTCTGTAGACGGAAGGCGGGGAGGCGCTGGGGCGGCTGGGGATGGTGATAGCTTTGCTGTTTTGTAATCCTGCATTTAGACTTCAGAAAGTAGTTGCATTTAAGGCTACAGATTAAAATGTTCTGTTGGTTTAAAGTTCAACTTTGTTTCTCTTTCTTTCTCCTCCCTGCAGCTCTCGACGATGTGCCATTTATGGTGTCGGAGAAGTTTCACGTAAAACCTCAACAGGTAAAGAAAAAAAAAAAAACAATCCTCAGGATCAGATGACAAATGCGCGATTGTTTCCTGATCTTAAATGCAACACGAGAGTGAAAATGAGTCGTTTTCTAGTGCATCTCTTCAGACGAGCAGTAGCTCCTGTTTCCTTCCTTCGTCTACCATTCCTTTCCTTCTTTGTCCTCTCCTTTCCTATCTTCCACACTGAGAGATGAATGCGTGCAGTCAGGCAGAGCTGACTCAATGCAGTCCATTTGGCTGGCTGGCAGAGGTTGTCACTGCAGCCCCGTTTGTATTGACACGGAGCTGGAAAGGATTAAAGTTTTTAAGTATGCTTACTTAGCCTTGAGCCTAACCGCCATGTTTCTTCTGTGTTTTTTTTCTTCTTCCTCCTTCCTTTCCCCCCTTTCCCTCCTCCTCCCCCCCTGCTTTTGATTTCAGATGCAGCAAGTCAGTTTAATGGGCATTACGATCAAATCCCTGGCAGAGATCGAGGAGGAAGTGAGTAGAGGCTGCAACGCTCGGCTGCCGCCGCCGCCGCCGCTGGCCCAGAATGCAAAGCAAACGGTCTTGGGTTGTAATTAAGTGTCTGAGACAGTGAGGCCCTGTTGGCTCCACTAAGCCCCAATTGAATAAAAGCATGGCCATGCGAGGCAGCCTTTCTCTCCTAAAAGTGTTGCCTCCTGTTCCAAGAACTGTTGACTTTTATCCCTTTATTCTTGCCTCCAACAACTCAATCATGCATCTCACACAGCACAGCGCTGCAGAGCTTAAAGGTGCAGTTTGGGTGTTTAAAAACTAATTTCTGTTAAAATTTTATAAGATGGTAATAATTCTCTGGACCTCAAGTCATTATTAGCTGATCCAGGAGGACTGGATCGATACCAAGGAGAACCTCTACCACCTTGGACTAGTCCAGTCTACCGGATGGGCAAAATAATATTTGGTGATGAATTTTATTTATTTATTTTTTGTCTGCCTGATAGTAACACAGGTCATTGCCACAGAACAATAAACGTGACATGACAAAAGAACCTTTTCCTTATCGTAAATGAAAAACAATTTCAATATTATTTCAACCAATAATCCATCGGAACTACAGCTTCTTCTCCATCTTTGATTGCAATAGACAAATTAGAGTAGATCTGCACAACGCTAGAAATTTGGATTGTGACCTTATTACATCCAAACAGTTTCTTTGATCTTTAGCATCTTGGACCAAATCATAAGTGTGGGGTGTGGGCATACACTGCACCAAGATGCTAAATGTATCGATGGCATGGAAAGTATTTATTCATGACAGTTGGAAATGGCAACCTATAAATATTGCACGTTCGCCCACAGATAAGGTGATAATGATATTCAGTAATGTGAAGCCTCTTTTCAAAGTCTGTGTATTCACTTTTCCTGTTTGCTCTCCATTTAGCATGAGCCGATACCACCGCGCATCAGGGTGCTACTGCAGCTAACCAAACAGAGAAACAACGGTCCTTCAAAATGCACAGCTTTTCAAAGTACAGCAGGCATAATCAGTGTAAAATGATCAGCTTACTGTCTAACATTTGTATTTTCTCCATCTAAATGTGGACCAGGGAGCTAGGAGACGCCCATGTCTGGTTTAATCAGTCATCAGGTTTTTTTTAGTGTATGTAGGACGATCATTGGTGATGCACTGACTCCAACTTTGAATACTTGTGGAAATAACCGTTGCCTTTTCCATGAATCGTCACCCAAAGCGACTCACGTTGAGCTGTTAGCGTCAGCATCTGAGACTCTGCTAAGACACCAACAAAGTTATCTAGTGCAGTTAAGATAACAGGTGCTTACGATATTTCAACACGACCTCGCTTTAGAATCCCGAGCTATAACCTTTCGGAAGAGCTTTTAGTTTCAGATTCGCCATGTTAAACTTTTTAATCTCTCAGTCAGCCCCACCGTCGAGAAGGAAGTGACACTGTGCCGTAGAGCAAATAAAAAAAGAGCTTCAAAAGTTCTCCCCATTTCTGATGAAATACTGTAGCCTACAGGCATCTGTAGGAAGGAAATCATCTGTGCGCGGCTCCTTCCCTTTACAGCTCAAGTGTTTGTGAAAGCGAGAGACAGAAAGAGTGCGCATGTCTTTGTGCGTTTCGCTGTGTATGTGTGTGTGTGTGTGTGTGTGTGTGCGGGTGTGTGCTCTAAAGAGAGTGACAACCCCCCTTCTCTCTCATTAGCACGGTATCTTGGTATCAGAACTGCCAGGAAGTGACAGACCACTGTAAAAGAACAGGTGCTGTTGGGTTTGAGATGTGTTACAGAGCAAACACTCCCTCATCAAACCGGGTGTCTGTTCTGCACTCTGCCTCTGTCTTCTGTCACACACTATCCAAATCACGCAGAGTCGCCATCTTGTCATATGGTCATCTGAATGAAGCTCATTGCCGGCGCAGGTATTAACGCCATCTACATGTGCATGTGTGTGTGTCCAGGCTGGAGACAGGCTGACTACTCATCCTATATATTCTTGTCTTTTATTCCTTCTTCCTGCGCTCTTGCTTCCTCTCATCCTCCTCCTCCACCTCCTCCACCCTCCTTTTCTTCTCCGGGAGCGTGATTAGCAGGAGGACACATGGTGAGCTGAGCTGGGGAAGAGAAGGGAAGGGCATGAGAAATCATTAATTACAGCCGCGCTGGAGCTGATGAAGTAAATGTGAGATAGTGTAACACACAGGATTTAGTGAAGTGGACGACAGCACAAGATTAATGGCGGGGCCAGGCTGATGAGGATAAGTCACAGCTTAGCTTGATAATTAGTTTCCAAGTGGAAACATCCCTCACCATTGTGTTATTTTTACTTCTCTCCTCTTATTATCATAGCCCGATGAGATGTGCGGCACAAGCAGGGGGGGGAAAGTGGAGTCAGTGATGTACCTGCGAGGACCAAACCCTTCTCCTTTTGTTTTCTTTGTTACACTTTTAGTGCAATTAATACGATTCTTTTTTCTTTTTTTTTTCTTTCTGAGCTGCAGCTGCTGCTTTCCAGTTGCAAATATCTTCTTCCTCTGCTGTCCAGGAGAGGTCACTCTCACTTGTCCTCAGCTTTTCCTCTTTCTCAAAGGCTAAGGTCGCTCCTACTACGACGAATTCTAATTGCCTTCTCGTCTCAAACTCTTCCAAAAAAAAAAAAAAAAGAAAAGAAAAAACACACACAGAAGGAGAAGAAAGAGACGTGCCTTCTCAAATTCTCCACATGCACGTGTAATTGAGGTAAACTGTTGTAATCAGAGCCACAGTTGTAGATAGGACCATTCCTTAACAGGCATCACTTAAGCCATGTCTCAGGCGATGTTGGTTCCAGCAATTAGGCATTCTTTTCATTTCCCAAATGACTCGCAAAAAACTTGCGGATATTATAATTGCTTTTAGCCACGCATATCTAATTTGTGTCTTTTTAAGTGTTAATTAGTAAGCGAATTAAAGTGACATCTTTATGTAGTTTGCTCTGCTGAAAAATGTTGTTGGCGGCTGCTTAATGATTTTTAGAGCGAGTATGGCAGAGTGGAAAGAAGTGTGTGTGCACACAAGACGGGGTTTTCATTAGCACCTATGTATGATCGCCTTTTAGTGCTTGTAGGGAGTTCTCTGCGTGCGTTCGTACGCGCGCGTGTACGTGTGTGTGTGTTTGGGTGTCAATGAATGGAAGGACAGTAGTGTACAGGGGTGTGTGAGAGGGAGAGAGAGCTCCAAATAGAGGTGGAATTAATGAAGACAACATGTCACATATTTTTGGCAGTGGAGCAGGGACAGGAAATGAAGCTCGGCTCGTCTGGGTGACTGCCGCCCATGTTCGAGTGTGTCACTGTCCTGTCAGGCTGTGTGTAAAACTGGCAGACATTGATACATGCTCTCCCTGATAACACCCCATTCCCCCATCCATCATCCACACACACACGCACACTCTCACGCACGCACACACGTACGCACACTGGTATATTTATTTACTGTGCCAGATGTTGAGACTGATTTCTGTGTGAGCGGAGGGAGCTGAATACTTTCACAAATAATAGGCTTCTGATATGTGACAGGTTTGGGTAACTTGCAGCTTCACCACCAAGTAGACGAAGGTGGGTCGTCGCCTCCCCCCCCCCTTCTCCCTCCCTCAAGCCCCCTCACTGCCCCGTCGATAGCGCACAGTTTCAACATTTCGGTTGTTTGTAGCTTGCTTTCTTGGAGTTGGGACTGTGGAAAACTTCTTCCCGTGATCATACAGCATCACCTAGTGCTTCGTAGCAGTAATGCAGCTGCTGGACTTTTGTCTTTGAATTCACTAGAGGATGATTCGTGCTGTTGAGTAGCTCTGAAGCAGTTTCTATATAATCTATCACAATAGTACTGTTTTCAGTCCAATTGTAAAAAAAATAATCAATGCTTTTGCCTGGGAGGCTTTCCTTTAAATTTTCTCATAATTAAAGTGTAATTAAGTTTTGGAATCAGAAAGTTGAGATTTGTAAATAAAAAAAATTGGAACAATTGTAATGTATTAGTTCATGATTTAACTCTGTAAACATTGTCATTTTGTTGACGGGTGATTTGATGATTGTGAGGAATAGAAGTGTGAGAAGAATTAGACTGATGATTGAACTTTATGCAAAAATTACGAGTCAATTTAACTCGTTCCATACATTATTTGGCAACTGCATATTCTCATAGAAGTGGAAACACAAAATTGAAACATATGTAATTTTTCTGGTCACAAATACAGGAGGGTAAATTTATTTTGATGGGGGTTTTTTGTAGTTAAAATAATAAAACATAAAGAAAAAAAAAAAAAAAACGCAAAATCACCAAGAGGCGCTAAACATGTAAGACAAACATAATGTCAAATGAGTTCTGATGAGGATTACTGTTTAAAAACATGACAATGACAAGACTGAAGTGTGAAGTTTTTATTTTTTGGGCCATTATTATTTTAAATGTAAAAAAATAGAACATCAAACGAAAATTACATTATCTCTCAACAAAAACTCTACTTCTGCTTACCTTTAATCGTTTTACATTTTAAAGTTAAAATCAATCACATTTTTTTGTTTATTTTTGCCTTTTATTTCTGGTTTCTGGTGAGATTATCCTACCTCCGAGCCATGCACGGACCTCACTCATTTCCTGGCTTTGAGTCTTTCCCAGAACTCCAAAGCAATCTGCTGACGCAGTGTTTTAACTTTCCCTCTTTATTCAATTTGTTTCAAAAATTATTTAAATAAAATCCCGGGACATCATTGAGCAACATACCAAACCAATAAAAAAAACTATAAAAACAGAATAAAACAAAGAAACAAACATCAATAAAGAAAAACAATTAAAAAAACCCCAAACAAATGAATTGACGCCAACTTCTAATATTGACTGTCTTATCGACGTTCCACCGCAAGGGGGCAGTGATTCTTTACATTCTCCATAAATTCTTTCTCTCTTCTTTCTGCTGCTGTGGGCTCCCAGCTTCTGTTTGGATGGATACGATTAGATCAGACATTTTTAATCAGAAGCTGAATGGCTTTAGTTCCAATCCAGTTAAACTAGGTCAAAAATGTGTAATTAATTGTATTTCTTTGTGCTCTACTCTCCTCAATACTATCTAGGTTTTGTTTTTGGCTTGGTTTTCACTTGTCAGACTGTAATTCTATCTTTTTCTTCTCCTTGCAGTTCCACTACAACTTCGGCACAGAACTGAGTATTGTTCCTTAACCCCTCGTCCGGCTCTCCCTCCGAGAAACGCAACAAGAATAGTTCAATGGACTAGAAGGATCATTTATGAGTTAATCGGGGATTTTTACTTTCAAATGTTGCATGATTTCTCATTTTATTTAAATTATTTAATTTCTAAAAAATAAGTACTAGAAAAGATACTTTGTATGTATTTTTTTCTTTTTAGATAACTCTTGCAAACTTTTTGATAGTTTTTTTTTTTTAATCCGTGTTTCTCAGATAGCAGCACAGGATGAGATTAAAACATTCCTACGTGCCAAAAATAAAACTAAGTCACATTCCCAAATGGAATATTTGTTAAATCTACGTTAGCTGTGACTCACGTTTCGCTCATCAGAGTTGCACGTCGTTGCCGATGCCTCTGGAGGATGAAGGAGAACGCACAAATGGGGCCATCTGACGCTCATTTTCCAGAAGAAGCATCTTTCTGTCAGGAAGTTGATCATGAGCAGCACACGGCACGAATGAGCGGAGCCTTGAGACGTGGAGCGTTTACCCCAGACACCCACACACACACACACACGTCAACAGTGGCTCCTTTACTGACTCAGCTCGTTTAAAAGCACCACTATATTAAGTTGTAGCGGTGGAGAATGTTCCTCCAGCCTGCTGCATATCCTGAGGAAATAATTAATAGAACTTGGACTTCATTGACCTGAATTATTCTGACGACAATTAAGGTTATAATTTATCTTCCTGTGCAAAAACGCAATGGCTTAGAATGTTTTTTTTTTTTTTTTTTTAAATATAAAAAAAAATTACATTCTAGTAATAAAGCAGAATTTTAATAACAAAGCATGACTATTTTATTGCTGCTCTTGTTTCATTTGCATTTGAGTACACTTCTGCACACATTTATCAGGTGTAATTAGTACCTGACGCTCATACACAGACCTGCATCCTTGCTGTTAATTAGACTCTCATTCTGCTAAGTTTGTGAACTTCTAGCTTTTGCCAACTGTGTGATTTTTTTCTTTTTGTATTTTTTTTTTTTTTCCTGACCAAACTCCTAATGGCTTTTGATATTCACAGGTGTTTAATGAAGCAGGCGGCAGATGACAGCCCTCCGTGAGCGTTTGGTTTGTTGCTGTGCTCTGCTGCTAAAATCAGAGCGACTGAGGAATTCTCTGCAGAGGGAACAGCTTTCACGCTCCTTCGCGAAGGTGACACTCATGTCAGCGAAGCCCCGGAGAACGTGACAGGCTTCAACAGCCTCCCTCCCTGCTGGTTCACACAGTGCATCTACGCGGTGTGCCATATGCATACTGCATGACTGCGAGAAACACAGTTAAGATTTGCAAACTAATGTGCCAGGCGTTTTTAATATCACACGGAACATTTTTGGGGCTTTGTTTTCATTCTAGGCGCGCCGTTTTGCTGTAAGCGTTCTTAAACGCCGTTTCTTTGTAACGTTTTTGTTCTGCTCTATGAAAATAGACTTGGAGCGTTTTAAATGTCAAGCAATTAAAATGATTAAAATTGTATTAAAGCATATTAAGCTGTAATTTCCATCAGCAAGTATGGTTGAATACCATTTTTTGGCAATGAATCCAACTTAAAAAGTTTGTTTAGAATCTGAAAATGTTTGGCTAACTGTTGAAGCTTATTTATTTACATAGGTGGTATTATGACTGATTAAATAACCTTGGTTGTAATAGAGGAAGCTGTAAAAGGACAGTCGGGCCTCTTTAAGGTTAAAAAGACAGTTTTTTTATTTAGTCTAAAAAAGAAAACCTTGGGTAAATCATGCAAAATAACAATATTGGGCCCATAAAACGTGGTATGACCCAGTCCCCTCTTGCTCCGCCCCTTTTCCACCTCTACGTTCACCTGAAGAACTGGAGCAGCCGCCACTGAGGTAACCAAGAAACACAAAGCAGAAAGATTAAATCTAGTCAAACACATATAACGCCATGATTTTGTAGATAAATTCAAAAAAAAAAAAACTTTATTACTCCTACATTTAAAGATTTGAAAACTTTGGTGAAATATACAATTATCTATTGTAGCAGTGTGATGATTACATATTAGCCCATTTGTGTAACTGTAACTGCAGCCGTCACGTTGGTAAGAGCTAATAAGTGTCTTAAGACTTGTGGTTGAAAAAGTTTCTGCAATAATTCAAGTGTAAACAGCTCTAGCTATGTTAGCAGCAATGCCAGAAAACGCAACCCTGAGACAGTAAGGCAACACGTCTTACTTGTGGTCTTCATGAGGAACATTAACATTAACATACAGTCTTTTTAGAATAGATTTAAAAAGTAAAGTTTCAAGTCTTAATCACAAACCAATTTTTTTTTATGCATTTGTTTTTTTTTCTCTTATGGATGAGTAACCAGGTGAGCAAAACAATCTCAACTAGATAGAATTTAACTAATTTAGCTCAGTTTGCTCATTTAAAAAAAGCAGTTGAAATCATGTATGTATCTTTTAGCTGTTAAAACTACTATATTATTTTCCTTATGATTATTTTAAAAAAAATCTGCCCGTTTAAACTGGGTGCATATTTCTACACCAGTTTCATTGATTCAATTCCAGCAGTTTTAAACTGTTTACTGGTAATTTCTACTGGTTACCAAACCGAACCTACTGTGAAAATTAAATAAACTAAACCATGCATTTCTTCAAACACAAGTAAAGTAAGAGAGAAAGACATACATTGAATTGCTATAGCGATGTTCTAGAAGACAATAAAAGAAAAAAACTTTGTAGATATTTGTCATATTCTTAAAATAGCATTTGTTTTAAACAGAGTATTTCTGCAGAGCTCAGTTTGAGCAGCAGAGCTGTGTTCAGACTTCAGCTGTAGTCTGCCGTCCACTCTGCATTAATCAGGTTAATCAGAACACATGACATATTTTACACCTGTGATTTTTAAAACAGCATAATTTCAATCCAGTCTGTGACTTTTTCCAACATTCTCACAGAACCAAATTGCATTCATTCCCTAGTGTTTCAAAAGCAGGGCAAGTAAAAGAGCTGGAGGTGCGAAACAGATGTGCCTGCAGTCCGATTGCGTCATCTACTGAAATGAAGTGGTACAGTGAGCGACGTGAAAAATAGAGAAAAGAGAGTGGCAAACAACTTCATTACGTTTATGCAAAAAATAAAGCACTGGTTTGCTTTCAGTGTTACAATAACAGGTAACTTTGCTTGAACTATTCACATCCCTTGAGCTTTTTCAAATGTTAATTTACAACAGCAAGCTTTAATGTATGTCACTGGCATTTTATCTGATAAATAAATAAATAATAAAAATCTAATAAAGTATAACCTGAAAAGTGTGGCATGCATTTGTGTTTAAGCTCTTTCACACTCCTAACCCCAAAAAACTTTAAAACAGCATTTTGCTTTCAGAAGTCACCTAATTCCAGTCCATCTTTATGTCATTTTTTTTTCCTGTATTGGTTATTTCTACAAAATGCAATAAGTCTGCAAAGAAAATTCAATAAACTACAACATAAAAGTTTCTTCAAATACAAGTAAAGCAACTGTCCTGAGAAGACTTTGGCTATCTGCTAAGAAAACATTGGAAACATGAATATCAAGGAACACATGCAGACAGCTCAGGAACAAGCTGTAGACAGGTTTAAAGCAGCATTAAATTATAAAACAATACCTCCAAGTCTTAACATCTGTTCACTTCATCATTCAAAAATGGAGAGGGGCACGGCACAGACGAGACCATCCACCTAACTGGATAGGTTAGGTTGACGGCCATTATGCGCTACGTAAGAGTTCACCTCTCTCCTATTTGGCTTGTATGCAAAATTATAAACTAGCAAAGCACAACACTTAGCATACGATGAAGCATGGTGGTGGGAGCGTGATGCTTTGGGATATCTTTCTTCAGATAGGAAATGAAGCTGGACAAGGTAGAAGAGAAGATGAATAGAGCTAAACGGGAGTTCACTTTCCAGCATACAGTGACTGTACACATAGTGCAATAGTTTAAATCAAAACATATTCATGGCCTAGTCAAAGTCCAGACATAAATCTAGTTAAAAGATTTGGGGAAAATATTGAAAATGTGCTTTTAAGATTCTATCCATCCAATCTGGCAAAACTTGAAGGACTTTACAGAAAAAGACATGTATAAAAAAATATTGTAGACTCTAGATTAGGGTTTCAAACTTGTGTCCTCAAGGGACCCGTGAGATACCTGTGTGGCATCACACAGGTTTTAGACGTGTCCGTGGTATCTCCTAGGTAACCAATAATTCATGTGTTTACACATGGAGACATTTCTAAAGGTTTCAAGAGGACAAGTATTTGATTCCCTTACTCTACATGAGCAAAGCTGATGGAGTGATACCTCAGAAGACCTGCGGCTGTAATTGCAGCGAAAGACGGTCTTCCACATTTCAAGTTGCCATATTTTTGCTCTTCTTCCCCCCCCCCATTACTGCGACTTACAGAAAACTCCACTGTAGTTAGATTTGAGTTGCACTCATGAGCTGTCGCTTTTAAGTTTCGTGTATATTGTTTGTGCTGAGCCGGCTTTGAGGCAAGTGGCCACTTCAGTCTGCCGGGCCTCTGCTGCCGAGTTTCCCTCGGAAGGGTTTGCCTTTAAATGATGTTGTGCGGAGCGGAGCAGCACATCAAAGCCCCACCCCTGTGCGAGTCTGCCAGATGTCTCGTGGTCATTTTTAAACTCACACCCCGGGCCCATGACATGTAGCCGTGTGTAAGCATGTAGACAGAGGTAGATGGGCCACTTGGAAATTGGAAAAGGAAGCCTGTATTTATGAGGTGGTTTGAGGTGCTGTGTTAAGACGGGCTTAGCCTGCCACTCTCCCTCTGACAGGCCTGTTTCCCCCCCCCCACCAACCCCCGCCTTGAATGGAGGTGACCAGAGACAGAGTGAGGTGAAAGAGTAAAGGCAGGAGAGCCTGTCTAAGACGGGGGCTCCCGGGCAGGTGATGCAGCAAATCACTCTGCCACAGAATGTAAGGTTCACTAGATCCATCATCGTATTCGTGGAGAAGTAGGGAGCAAATGCATTGTCTGGTGGGGCGGCTTTAAGCTTTCAGAAACTGGTAAGGAAAAGTTAAGAATGATCATCCAACCTTTAATCCGACCACTTACCTCAGGTCTTTTTCTGTTGTCTTGGTTCCCTGTTGACGTCATTAAGTGT